AAAATCTCCCTAATCAAAATTCTGTAAAAAATATAAAATATAACACTAGTAAAACATTATGAATTAAAATAATAGAATTACCCATTTGAAATTTTAATAGAACAGTGAAACCTCCCAATTAAAATTTCGATAAAAAACAGTAAAACTCCATCCGGTTAAAATTTGATAAAATCAGTAAAATTCCACACAGTTAAAATTTGATAAAAAAAAGTAAAATTCCCATTAAAATTTGATAAAACAGTAAAACATCCCCAATTAAAATTTGATAAAATCAGTAAAACATTCTGTTAAAATTTGATAAAAGCAGAAAAACATCCCGTTAAAATTTGATAAAAACAGTAAAACATCCCCAATTAAAATTTGATAAAAGCAGTAAAACATCCCGTTAAAATTTGATAAAAGTAGTAAAACATCCCGTTAAAATTTTATAAAAACAGTAAAACCTCCCGTTAAAATTTGATAAAAACAGTAAAACATCCCCAATTAAAATTTGATAAAAGCAAAAAATATCCCGTTAAAATTTTATAAAAGTAGTAAAACATGCCGTTAAAATTTGATAAAAGCAGTAAAACATCCCGTTAAAATTTGATAAAAACAGTAAATCATCCCCAATTAAAATTTGATAAAAGTAGTAAAACATCCCGTTACAATTTGATAAAAGTAGTAAAACATCCCGTTAAAATTTGATAAAAGCAGTAAAACATCCCATTAAAATCTGATAAAAACAGTAAAACATCCCCAATTAAAAACATCCCTTTAAAATTTGATAAAAGTAGTAAAACATCCCGTTAAATTTGATAAAAACAGTAAAACATCCCCAATTAAAATTAGATAAAAGCAAAAATACATCCCGTTAAAATTTGATAAAAGTAGTAAAACATCCCGTTAAAATTTGATAAAAGTAGTAAAACATCCCGTTAAAATTTGATAAATTCAGTAAAACATCCCATTAAAATTTGATAAAAGTAGTAAAACATCCCGTTAAAATTTGATAAAAGTAGTAAAACATCCCGTTAAAATTTGATAAAAGCAGTAAAACATCCCGTTAAAATTTGATAAATGCAGTAAAACATCCCATTAATATTTGATAAAAACAGTAAAACATCCCCAATTAAAATTTGATAAAACAGTAAAATTTCCCAAATTAAAATTTGATAAAAACAGTAAAACATCCCGTTAAAATTTGATAAAACAGTAAAACATCCCCAATTAAAATTTGATAAAAGCAGTAAAACATCCCGTTAAAATTTGACAAAACCATTTAAAACATCCCGTTAAAATTAGATAAAAACAGTAAAACATCCCGTTAAAATTTGATAAAAACAGTAAAACATCCCCAATTAAAATTTGATAAAACAGTAAAATTTCCCTAATTAAAATTTGATAAAAGCAGTAAAACATCCCCAATTAAAATTTGATAAAAGTAGTAAAACATCCCGTTAAAATTTGATAAAAACAGTAAATCATCCCCAATTAAAATTTGATAAAAGTAGTAAAACATCCCGTTACAATTTGATAAAAGTAGTAAAACATCCCGTTAAAATTTGACAAAACCATTTAAAACATCCCGTTAAAATTAGATAAAAACAGTAAAACATCCCGTTAAAATTTGATAAAAACAGTAAAACATCCCTAATTAAAATTTGATAAAACAGTAAAATTTCCCTAATTAAAATTTGATAAAAGCAGTAAAACATCCCCAATTAAAATTTGATAAAAGTAGTAAAACATCCCGTTAAAATTTGATAAAAACAGTAAATCATCCCCAATTAAAATTTGATAAAAGTAGTAAAACATCCCGTTACAATTTGATAAAAGTAGTAAAACATCCCGTTAAAATTTGATAAAAGCAGTAAAACATCCAATTAAAATTTGATAAAAACAGTAAAACATCCCCAATTAAAAACATCCCGTTAAAATTTGATAAACGCAGTAAAACATCCCGTTAAAATTTGATATAAACAGTAAAACATCACCAATTAAAATTTGATAAAAGCAATGAGACATTCTGTTAAAATTTGATAAAAGTAGTAAAACATCCCGTTAAAATTTGATAAAAGCAGTAAAACATCCCGTTAAAATTTGATAAAAGCAGTAAAACATCCCTAATTAAAATTTGATAAAAGCAGTAAAACATCCCCAATTAAAATTTGATAAAAGTAGTAAAACATCCCGTTAAAATTTGATAAAAACAGTAAATCATCCCCAATAAAAATTTGATAAAAGTAGTAAAACATCCCGTTACAATTTGATAAAAGTAGTAAAACATCCCGTTACAATTTGATAAAAGTAGAAAAACATCCCGTTAAAATTTGATAAAAGCAGTAAAACATCCAATTAAAATTTGATAAAAACAGTAAAACATCCCCAATTAAAAACATCCCGTTAAAATTTGATAAAAGCAGTAAAACATCCCGTTAAAATTGTAAAGCATCCCGTTAAAATTTGATAAAAACAGTAAAACATCCCCAATTAAAATTTGATAAAAGTAGTAAAACATCCCGTTAAAATTTGATAAAAGCAGTAAAACATCCAATTAAAAATTTGATAAAAACAGTAAAACATCCCCAATTAAAAACATCCCGTTAAAATTTGATAAAAGCAGTAAAACATCCCGTTAAAATTTGATATAAACAGTAAAACATCACCAATTAAAATTTGATAAAAGCAATAAAACATTCCGTTAAAATTTGATAAAAGTAGTAAAACATCCCGTTAAAATTTGATAAAAGCAGTAAAACATCCCGTTCAAATTTGATAAAAGCAGTAAAACATCCCTTTAAAATTTGATAAAAACAGTAAAACATCCCAAATTAAAATTTGATAAAAGCAGTAAAACATCCCATTAAAATTTGATAAAAACAGTAAAACATCCCTAATTAAAAACATCCCGTTAAAATTTGATAAAAGCAATAAAACATCCCGTTAAAATTTGATAAAAGCGGTAAAACATCCCGTTAAAATTTGATAAAAGCAGTAAAACATCCTGTTAAAATTTGACAAAACCAGTTAAAACACCCCTTTAAAATTTGATAAAAACAGTAAAGCATCCCGTTAAAATTTGATAAAAACAGTAAAACATCCCCAATTAAAATTTGATAAAACAGTAAAATTTCCCCAATTAAAATTTGATAAAAGCAGTAAAACATCCCCAATTAAAATTTGATAAAAACAGTAAAACATCCTGTTAAAATTTGATAAAAGTAGTAAAACATCCCGTTAAAATTTGATAAAAGCAGTAAAACATCCCATTAAAATTTGATAAAAACAGTAAAACATCCCCAATTAAAAACATCCCGTTAAAATTTGTAAAAGCAGTAAAACATCCCGTTAAAATTTGATAAAAACAGTAAAACATCCCCAATTAAAATTAGATAAAAGCAAAAAAACATCCCGTTAAAATTTGATAAAAGTAGGAAAACATCCCATTAAAATTTGATAAAAGCAGTAAAACATCCCGTTAAAATTTGATAAAAGCAGTAAAACATCCCGTTAAAATTTGATAAAAGCAGTAAAACATTCTGTTAAAATTTGATAAAAAAAAGTATAACATCCCGTTTAAATTTGATAAAAACAGTAAAACATCCCGTTAAAATTTGATAAAAACAGTAAAACATCCCCAATTAAAATTTGATAAAACAGTAAAATTTCCCCAATTAAAATTTGATTAAAGCAGTAAAACATCCCCAATTAAAATTTGATAAAAGTAGTAAAACATCCCATTAAAATTTGATAAAAACAGTAAAACATCCCCAATTAAAATTTGATAAAAGTAGTAAAACATCCCGTTAAAATTTGATAAAAACAGTAAAACATCCCGTTAAAATTTGATAAAAGCAGTAAAACATCCCCAATTAAAATTTGATAAAAGCAGTAAAACATCCCCAATTAAAATTTGATAAAAGCAGTAAAACATCCCATTAAAATTTGATAAAAGTAGTAAAACATCCCGTTAAAATTTGATAAAAACAGTAAAATTCCCCCGGTTAAAATTTGATAAAAACAGTAAAACATCCCCAGTTAAAATTCGATAAAAACAAATAAAATCATGTTACAGAGCTTCACATGCTGACTGAGCCACCTCACTCTCAGTCTGTACCAGGAATAGCAAATACTTGGTACGGGAGATAAAATATCCCCAAAAGTTTTTTGACTGAGCCACCTCTCTCTCAGCCAGACCGAGCCGCCTCACTCTCAGCCAAACCGAGCCTCCTCACTCTCAGTTTGTACCAGTAAACATGGATACTTGGTACGTATGGTAGGGGACGTTACTATACCCAGAGCAGAGGTTTAGCATCTGTGAACCCTAAACACAGAGAGCGGCTTAACTTCCCATACGTGTATACAAGTATCCAATGCTTACTGGTAAGTTACATTATCATGTCAGTCACTGAAAATAATTTATAAAATGAAACTCCTGAAGAACTTACTGCAATAATAACATAAAAACCTTGATTCTAAGTTTCCTGTGGTCAACTATGAGGCATCAAGTAGTCTGGGTTTGATTTTCTTGAAGGTTTTCATAAGGATTGTAGATGTAGCCTTTGGGAAAACAGTGTGACAGTAACTCAACAATAGAGTAAAACCAGAAAGATATTAATATGTCAAACAGTCTTTAACAATAAACTATTATAATTAATAGTACCTAATGGTATTTGAATGTTATATGGTGATCTTTCTTTGTATTGAAATCCATGATAAGCTATAATTTATTCATTATCTTTGATCTTTGGCCTTAAGGGATAGTTGTCTCATTAGCAATCCAACCACTTCTCCTTATTTATATATGGCTGAGAGTTGAATGTACTTTTCTGTGTTGATAACCCATTGAGTTACAATTTCAGGCTATCAAAAAGATTTGCAAAATACACCTTATGTGGAATTTTTCAAAGCACATCCATCAAGAATAAGTATATAAGAATTAATTCTGTAAAAGTGCCATGAAATAAGAAAGAAATTTGTCTATCTTTTATGTTGTTTTTATAAAATCAAGGTAGAAACATATTTTTATAATTCATTTAATGAGCACAAATTCTTCATTTCATACAATGAATTTACTGACATAAACAAATACTCCTGAAATCTGCAGAAGACCGTAAAAGTTCTTCAAGTCTTTAAATGCATACAAATTTTTGTCACATCCAATTCTTTGCCTTGTAAGTCTGCATATTAAAAATGCCACATTTAAGTCATACAAATGCTAGTCAGACTACATCCACATGGTTGTATAATACAATTCACTTTATTCAAAGATAGTCTTGACAACTGTGATTCCTCATCAAAGAAATTAAAAAGCTTGTTCTGATTTTTTCTCAACATACTGAAAAGTAAAAACAACATTTATAATCTAAAAATTTAAAAGAATTTGAGATATCTTCTTAACTTCAAATTAAATGAGATATCACATAAAGAAAACTGCGTATCTTATTCACTTTGCAAGATATATTATTCAATTTATAAGATATTGTTTTTAGTTTACAAGTTATCTTATTTAGTTTATAAGATATATTTTATTTAGTTTACAAGATATATTTTATTTAGTTTATAAGATATATTTTATTTAGTTTACTGTCTCAACTGTGGTGTAAGTCGCAATGTCCGTCACATGTCCATTGTCCTTGACCTCATTTTCATGGTTCAGTTACTGCTTGAAAAAAAATTACACCTGACCTCAACCTTAATCCTTGGATCAGTGATCCGTGAAGTTTAAAGTTACATGGTCAAGTCCACATCACCGATACTGTAGGCAATAGGTCAACTATATTTAGTGTGTGGATTGATGGTAAGGTATACATGTCCAACTGACAGGTTTCATCTGACCTTGACCTTAATTTCATGGGTCATTTGACAATTTTTAGTTTTCGAGGTTTGGTCTATTTCTCAGATATTAAAGGCAATAGGTCAATTATATTTGGTGTATGGAAAGATTGTAAGGTGTACATGTCTGTCTGGCAGGGTTCATTTGACTTTGACCTGGTTCATTGGTCAATGTTAAGATTTTGTGGTTTGATCTGTTTCTCAGGTACTATTAGCAATAGAACCGCTATTACTTGAAATGGCACACATCTAGAGAAAATGGAACAACTTCTTCCAAAGAACTATATTTTTATTTTGGGCTTTTAAAAAGTAAGTAGCCTTGAAAATTATCAATTTTTCAAAGTTTCCATAGGCTTGTAACTTCTCAGTAAATCAGGTTAGGGCTATTCATCTTTTGGAAAATTTGCTGCATTTTTTATGAATATGTGCCATAAGTAAAAAGACTCGGTTATAAAAATTTAGTTTTCACTATCAAATAATTACTCAAATGAGGGATTGTTACTCATTTGGGGAATAGTTCCCCATTTGGCGGATTGTCCCCAACCTGTTTAAACTGGACAAAATACAAACTTTGATATATAAGATCATATAAGCAATACAAACATTTCAAAGTCAATGAACCATGATGATGGAACAGGACTATATAATCTCCATAGAAATGAGACTAGAAAATGCTATTAGGATTGCATACCAATATATTCTAACAGAAAAATTCTGATCTGATAAAAGATTTTGAGGGAAATTACTAATGAAAATGTTCTCTATTTCTATTTAATAGTCTACTGTGTAACAACTCTTTACATGAAGAATATGCAGATGGTTTGTTGCAAAGAAAAATTTTACGGCCATCACCAACAAATCCTATTTTTCAGTGATAGTTCCTTCCCTCTCCACCAATTTTTTAAAAAATTTGCAGAAACTACTTCAGTGATCTATTATTTTTTGTATCATCTTGAATATGTATGAAACATTTGCCACAGTGAACAAGCAATGTCGGGGCAGCTGTATAACTGACTATATGGTATGGGTTGGGCTCATTGTTGAAAGCAGTATAGTAATTTAACTTCTATAGTTGCTTTAATCTGCATTATTTGGACTCTGGTGGATGATTGTCTCATTGGAAATCATACCACATCTCAAATTTATGACAATTGATAAAAATCAACCAATCAAGTATCCTACCTTAAGTCTTCTCTGATTGTGACCTCTTTTTTATACCCATTTCAAAATTCATAACTGCTTCTCCTTATGACATGCATTTACTATATTCATTTTCCTTTCCATGCATTCAACTCAGAAGATTCTTCATTTGATTCATGATCAGTTGCTATTTTAAAATCATTTCCTGCAAAATATAAAAACTGAATTAGGATTAACGAATAGGCATAATTTTTGAAAATATTTATATAAAATAAACTGTTGACACAGAGATATGTCTCACCTTTTTGTACTTTCGGTAGTATAATGCAAATATTGAATCCAAATGGCAATATTTAAGCAAAACATTCGAGGTCAATGAACCATGACTTAATGTGTAGGACCAAATAACTTCCATGTAAATTAGAAATAACAATGCTTATAAAACTACAAACCAAATAGCATTGACTTATCTTAAGTGGTGCCACTTACACAAACCACAACACAAAATTTAACTTGCACACTATGTAAAAGTTTCAAAGTCAATGAACCGTGATGAGGGGATGGGGCAATATAATCTCCATAGAAAAGAGTCTTGCAAATGCTAATACAACTGTATACCAAATGTCATTGACTTAAAAATTAACATAAGTGGTTCCTCTTTATAGACTTATCTAATAACAAACTTAACATGTAAACTATGCAAAACATTCAAAGTCAATAGACCATGACAGAGAGGGTGTAGCCAAATAATTTCCATGCAAATGAGATGTGCCAATGCTAATGCATCTTACATATCATATACCATTGACCTACCACTAGTGGTCCTCCTTAAACTGATGATGATGTTAAATAAGCAAAAGTTTCAAAGTAAATAGACCATGACTGAGGGGGTAGGGCCAATTAATCAATATGGAAATGAGATGTGCCAATGCTAATACAACTGCATACCAAATATCATAGACCTACCACTGGTGGTCCCCTTAAACTGACCTAATCACAAACTAATACATTGTTGACGCCGCCGACGCTGTCAACGCCATCAGAAACAGCATATCTAAGTCTCGCTTTTTGACGACATCAAGGCGAGACAACTAGGTAGTTTTGGCAGTTTAATAAAAAATATATATGTATATATCTCAGGTCAATAATTTTTATAATGACCTTGCAATACAAATAATCAGTACAAAGAAAGATAACTGTGTTCATTTTAGATGGCAATATCAAAAATACAGTGCTCAAATATTTCCTACTGGGAAACTGGTTTTGTTGTTTTGGACTTTTATGTATAAAAAATGTAAACCGTGAATATTTTTGAACTCATCATAAATTATACATCTTAATATTTAACATATTAAATTCTACCTAATATTCTACTGATTTTTCAGGTCATTCTAATAAAATCTAAAACATCATTGTATAAGTACACTTATATACCTATATGGAGTTATTTTCTTTCAGAACGATAGGTCATTCTTTCGAAGAGTCAACTCGGACGATGCCATGTTTCAATGAAATATGCTCCAAGGCATGAAATAATGACCTGTGTGAGGTCATTATTTTCCTTGATAAACATGCAAACTATAATTTACTTCAAAATCAGTATATTCGTCTGATATTTTTTGTTGCCGATTTGGGAATTTATTTTTTAAAGTTCAATCTATGATAGGTGTAAAAAAAATCATTGCCCGCATTTTAATTTTAGAAACAAATAATGTGAAGTTTTGTTAATTTATCGCTACAATACAGAAACATTATCATATATATGTGTGATGAATTTTAATGTACAACTTTCATAACACTTAGAAAAAAAACCCAGATTTAACATATTCGTGTGCAAGATTTTGAAAATCATATTGATTTTGATTCACACAGAATAGGATATCTTACTGTGACCTACATGTATTGATATTCGTTTTCGCGTTACATGTACATGTATCACGATTTCGTGCTCCCTTCGTGTCAGTTCTTAACTTTTTTACATTTATGTATACCTTCTACTCTATCAAATGATCAACTAATAAAATATTATTATATTCTATTGAATAACATCCATGTACCTCACAATGGGGTCGGTTGCGGAAGGTACAGAATTATATCCTGAATATCTGTTAAAAAATTGTATTGCTATTCAAAAGAAAATCATTCTGAATATATCATTCGATTCAATTAAATTTGTTGAAAAATAATCACTCTTCCGCGATAGAAATGTCATTACAAATAGAAAGAAAAAAAAAACACAACTCAGCACCCCCCCCCTTTTTCCATAAACTTAAGTTGGTACAATAAATTACTTACAAAGTGTCTTGTATTTTTTATACACCGTTATCGGATGGTAACAATTAATTTGTGTATTACTTCATGCAGTTACAGTAATATTTTTATTGTGTATGGATAATAATTTCTAAGGTTTATATCTAGATTAATTAGTGAGTTTTATTTCACATTCTAAATGAGCCGTAGGGCGTATTAAAGCCTGAACGCATTTGAAAGGAATATCCCACTTTAGTGTGGTCGGCCACTTTAGTGTGGTCGGTACAATATGATGCTAAATTTTGCAAATCTGTATAAAAAATAATATTTTTTTGACGGTATATAAGTCAGATAATGCATATTTCAAGGTAGGTCTTTCATTTGGTCAATCCTGACACCCCTCGGTGTGTTCTACGACAAGAAAAACCTTAAAATATGCATTATCTATAACATAAAGCAAAGCATACTGCAAACATAACACAATAACTACCTTGCTAAAACCTTGCTAAAAAATATTATAGCAGAGCTTAAGACACATGTTAAGGACAAAAACACACATGTTAAAAGAATACAAAACTTACCATGTATGAATTCAGAGGTCATGTATACACAAAACTCTGGAACCTATGGCACTACATCGTGTACAATATTGAAACAGTATGTTTGAGAATCTGTAATAAAAACATAATCATAACTGTTGTTTATAGTTTCTGTATATACAAAAATATGTCTTACATACAAATTATTATTTTTGATACCAAAAACTATTTTATCTATTTACTTTTACATTACTACTATTAATTGCTTCTTTTTACTAAAACTGGGATATTCATATAATTTGGCTTAAATACTTTCACAAAAAAAGACAATGATTATTTTGACTATGTCGATTAGTTTATCTGATTTAACCAATATTTTTATACCTTGTATGTTTATGGGTTTTAATTTTTCATATGCACCTTTTATTCTGAAATCACTCATTTTTACCATTCATACAAAATACCATACATTCATATCAGTATATTAGAAGAATGTGATACTAATTAGAGAAGACTGACCTTATTTGATGAAATCAAAGATGTCCACCAAATAACAATACAATAATCAAGTAACAGCACAGCACCATGCATTCAGTTCAAAATATAAGCAAATTCCAATCAAACAAAAGATTTTCCCTCCAAAAAAGACATATGACTTAATTAACCAATTATCATAAAGAAGGGATAGTTTTCATAACACAAACTAGTAAAATCTAGAGAGTAAACAAATACCCAATCTATCAAAACTCACTGAGCCATGAAGAAGTCTTACAATAAATATAACCACTGATACAGGACTAGAAACTACTCAAAAAGTACTTTGAATTAAAAATATTAACTCATCAGATATATAATATCAAAATATCAAAGTACGATACAAAAAAACAAAAGTATCCAAATTAACATATACATCATGATGAGATTGATAGTTTCTTGTTTGATTTCAGTGGCAATTAAGCATTTCATGCATTTTAAAAATTATCTAATAAACCATTGCAAAATTTTCTAATTAAGTTGAACCAACTCCTTTTGAATTCATTTCACACACCAGTCATTTTTTAAAAGTTTTCCAAACTTCACTAAAATCACAGTGTGACAGATTCATATGCATACTTTGAGGTTGCAACAACATAACCGAGTATACGTACTTCTGAAATGTTTCCAAATTATAGATGCCAAAGAAAGCTCAAAACTGCAGTTTGGTAGATTTTGGCAATTTTTAGCCGTAATCACAAAAATGAGACATAAGACATGAAGCTTCATATAAAGTTGGTATATGCAAAACAATTACAAACATTAGCTCTGTTAAACTTTCGGAGCTTTAATTAGAACCGACAAAACAAAACACAACAAACAAAACAAAAGCACAACAAACAAAACATACATATCAAGTCATGCCAACATACAATTAAACATAGAAAGCAAGAGTTCATATAAGGGAGCTACCATTTGATTTTTATGGGGGAATGGGACTAGGATGAAAAATTTTGTCCTGCATTTTTTTTAGTTGTAATCTCTGTCCTGCCTTTTTATATTTCACTCTATTCGGTCCTGCCTTTTTTTATTAGTTTATCCTGACTTTTATTACATAAATTGTCATCCTGTCTTTTTTTTACTCAAAACTCCTGTCCTGCCTTTTTTTCAAATTTCATCCTAGCCCCCCATGAAAATCAAATAGTAGCTCCCTAATGCAAACATAAACACACAAACTGTTGCATGCACTTATGGGGTAAAAACACAAGAGCAAAGGTAAAATATAAAAAGCCTCAGCGGTCATATATTAGGGATTTATGTTAAGTTAAGACAGCGTGATGATGAATTGAGTAATTAAAATGCTAACTTTAAATTACAATATACTAAGTTGAATCCGTGTTATGTTGACTTGCAATTGCAAAAGCTTTAGTTGTGATAGTATATTGATAAGTCACAATGTTGTGATGATATGCCAATTACACGTTATGTTGAGTTTAAAGTACATGATATGAAGTTGACATTACATGATGGTAACTTGCAACTGGGTAATGCTTAGTCATCTACTTCGATTGCTATGATAACAAATAAAACAAGAAATGATTGTAACAGGATGCTGTTACGAAGTCTCCCAAACGAAGCTCCCATAATTCGTAATTCCCAGTGTAGCCTGACATTGGACAAAGTCCAGTGAAAATTGGTTTGGTCCAGTAAATTTAGTGCATTAGTGATGCCTGGGGACTAACCCTGTAAATCATTCAAATCATCTTGGCATGACAAACCAGAATATATATGGTTGAGGGGTGGGGATCTCGACCATTTACAAGATACTAGAACATTGGGGGTGGGGGGAACCCCTGGGGACTGACCCTATACATCATTCAAATGTTCGAGAAACGACGAACAGGAATATATATGGTCTAGGGGTGGGGATCTCGACCATTTACAAGATATTAGAACATTGGGGGTGGGGGGAACCCAGTGGGGACTGACTGTATACGTCATTCAAATGTTCGAGACATGATGAACAGGAATATATATGGTTTAGGGGTGGGGATCTCGACCATTTACAAGATATTAGAACATTCTCAAATGGCAGGAGGTCGGGATGACCCCTGGGGACTAACCCTGTATATCATTCAAACCATCTTGGTATGACAAACCAGAATATATATGGTTTAGGGGTGGGGATCTTGACCACTTACAAGATATTAGAACTTTCTTAAATAGCAGGGGGTGGGGGTGACCCCTGGGGACTAACCCTGTATATCATTCAAACCATCTTGGTATGACAAACCAGAATATATATGGTTTAGGGGTGGGGATCTTGACCACTTACAAGATATTAGAACTTTCTTAAATAGAAGGGGCTGGGGGTGACCCCTGGGGACTAACCCTGTATATCATTCAAACCATCTTAGCATGACAAACCAGAATATATATGGTTTAGGGGTGGGGATCTTGACCACTTACAAGATATTAGAACTTTCTTAAATGGCATGGGGTGGGGGTGAACCCTGGGGACTAACCCTGTATTTCATTTCATGTGCTTTATCATGACAAACCAGAATATATATGGTTTAGGGGTGGGGATCTCGACCATTTACAAGATATTAGAACTTTCTCAAATGGCAGGGGGTCGGGATGACCCCTAGGGACTAACCCTGTATATCATTCAAACCATCTTAGCATGACAAACCAGAATATATATGGTTTAGGGGTGGGGATCTCGACCATTTACAAGATATTAGAACTTTCTCAAATGGCAGGGGGTGGGGACGACCCCTGGGGACTAACCCTGTATATCATTCAAACCATCTTAGCATGACAAACCAGAATATATATGGTTTAGGTGTGGGGATCTTGACCACTTACAAGATATTAGAACTTTCTTAAATGGCATGGGGTGGGGGTGACCCCTGGGGACTAACCCTGTATTTCATTTCATGTGCTTTATCATGACAAACCAGAATATATATGGTTTAGTGGTGGGGATCTCGACCATTTACAAGATATTAGAACTTTCTCAAATGGCAGGGGGTTGGGATGACCCCTGGGGACTAACCCTGTATATCATTCAAACCATCTTAGCATGACAAACCAGAATATATATGGTTTAGGGGTGGGGATCTCGACCATTTTCAAGATATTAGAACTTTCTCAAATGGCAGGGGGTCAGGATGACCCCTGGGGACTAACCCTGTATATCATTCAAACCATCTTAGCATGACAAACCAGAATATATATGGTTTAGGGGTGGGGATCTTGACCACTTACAAGGTATTAGAACTTTCTTAAATGGCAGGGGGTGGGGATGACCCCTGGGGACTAACCCTGTATTTCATTTAATGGGTTTTATCATTTAAAACATTTTCAATTAAAAAGATTGTGTCTATCACAAACGGTTTTCAATTTATAATCATTTGAAAATTTAAAAAAATAAAATCCCATAGGGTTCTATAGTAAAACCCTCTTTTCTTTTTGCCCCTCAAATTACCCCTTTATAAACCCCATTGCACAAACAAAACCCTGATTGCACCACTAGACATGTTAGTCTAACATATTGTGAAACCCTAAGTTAATCTGACAAGCGGTTTTGGAGAACGGGTGCGGACAAGTTCAAATTTAAAAGCGGCGGAAGAGGAAGAGGAAGAGGAAGAATAATAATAATAATAATAAGAACTGAGCAAAAACAATAAGTCCTCCCAAACTTCGTTTGGGAGACTTAATTAAGAGCTAAACTTTATGATACTGACTTGTTATAAATAAATGTTGAGCTGACATAGAACGAAATTTGGGCCAGGTGAGCTTTTCTCATTATCGCACTTGGCTCCGGCATCCGTTAACTTTTACAAAAATCTTCTTGGCCTTGCTGATCATATTAGTGATTCAAAGTGTCTATTTATCTATTATATTTTTTATCATATAAGACAAAAACGCAAAAAAATGGTAAAATCGTCATCAAAGGGCAATAACTCTAATAAGGAGTCGACTGATGATTTCGACCATCAGACTTATTGGTAGAACTTGTCTTGCTGATCGTTTTTGCAAATTAAAGTTTCTCTCTATCTATTACAGTTTTCGAGATAATAGGCAAAAATGGAAAAAAAATTGGTAAAATTTGTCATTTAAGGGCAATAACTCCTTTAAGAAGTCGTCTGACAGTTTTGACGTGTATGGACAATTGGTATAGCTCAACATTCTGAACCTTTGTGCTCCTCTCAGATTTTCTCTATTTATAACGGTTTTCCAAATAATAGACAAAACTTGTATTTTACCCCTATGTTCTATATTTAGCCATGTCGACCATCATCAGACACATTTTTAAACTAGATACCCCAATGATGATTAATTGTGGCCAAGTTTGGTTTAATTTGGCCCAGTAGTTTCGGAGAAGATTTTTGTTAAAGTTAACAGACGATGACGGACGACGACGACGGACGATGGACGCCAAGTGATGAGAAAAGCTCACTTGGCCCTTCGGGCGAGGTATCATGCCTGATAACGTCACATAGAAAGAACACATCTTTGATCATCTTTTTGCAGATCATACGAAAAGAATAATTGATTCTGTATGAAATTTCATATTTTGCCGGAAAATTTTGCCAAAATTCAGGATTTCAAAGTCTTTCCAGGAATAGAGAGGATATTTATTTCTTTTAATTTTGTCTCTTTACCATTGCTATAGGTTTATTTACAAAATATAAAACAAATTGCTGTCGGCAAATGAATTTGTCTCCATGAATTGTATTCATCTTTCAGTCATAGTTATGGATTTGGGCGATTTTTATAAATATTTCACTTGGTCACAGCAAATTCTCAAGTCAGGTTATAAAACCGTTAAAAACATGAAACAGTTGACAGCATAAAATTTTTTAATGAATTTTATACGTTTTTAAAATTTTGAGATAAAATTCTTTTCAAAATAAAGGGGAGATAATTATAAATTGAATTTAATGGGCAAATTTATATTTTCTTCATTTTTCAAGAAAATAAGGTCTGTGAACCTTTTAAATTTTGGAATTATTCATGAAAAGCCATTATCTCCTTGAAATTGATCTGCTTCAATAGTTTCAATCCTCAAATAGAGATTTTTTTTTTTTTTTCGTTTTACAACCTATATAG